TTAAATTTTTTTATGTTTTAATTATTCTTTAGTATTATGTCATGGAAATAATGGATTTTACGCTTGGGAATGGAGAGGGTAAAATCTTGATCCAAAAATTTAGATGGAAGTAAAAGAATTAGACAAATATTGGGTGTCCATGAACTCTGTATATTTCAACAGAATTTAGCTTCAAATTTTGCTTTATGCAAATATAAAATATAAAATATGTTTTTAGCATCGATCATGATCAGTAGTAATCTACAATACATGATACGTTTTCACTTCTACTCATCGGTTCTCTACATTGGTTTCTAAGATTTCGTTACTTTAATTCAATTTTTCTGTGATAGGTAAATCGGACCAGTATGGTTAATCATTGTTTACGAGGTAAATCAGCTCTAATTAAGAAAGAAAATTGTAAAATTCTCTCGCACTCTAGCTAAGACATTTAAATTTCTTTGTAATCTTAATTAAGTTGCTTGTGTGTCAAGTATTGTGGAAAAAGTCTTGTACATACATATGGTGTAATTCTTGTTGGCGTGAGTCCCACTCTAATTAGGATTGTAATTATTTAATTATTGTGGAGGGTTAGTACTAGTTAAAAGTGGTTAAATTTAACAAACTGCATGTTTGAGTCGACCTGCATTTTTAGGTACATTAAAGCAATCATGTGCCGTGGTATGGCCAGTTGCTACGTACTTTAACTTTTTGAAGAAGTAACTAACTATATATTGTGTGTTGTTTCCTCCCATTCCATAGAATTTCAGCTAGCTAGCTATCCGTTGATGAATCCCATGTGACCCCCATGAATGTTGTTCTTGACCGCAAAGTCACACTTCTCAACTGAATGCGACACTTGATATACATACATACATACATATATATATATATTTATATCTTGCCTAAATGAGCTTTATCATAATACGTGGGACTCACTGAACTCAAGATTTCAAGTGCAAACGTACATGAGTTCAACCACTTGAAATATGAATCGTTTACGTACTTATTAATGATCTTATAATCAAAATATATTAGTAATAATGCAATTGTTGTACGATCATGTCGATCGAATTGTGGGACTTGGCCCGAGATCATGGCAAGATTGGCTATGGTCAAGCGTAACCTCGTTTCATGAAGACCTTAGGATACAAATACAATAACAAAATATTTAATATAAAAACATTGAGTAGAAATTTGTTATTGTGAACTAAAACTAACGTAATTAGAAACACTAATTACTTTCTTTTTTGTACATCTACTTACTGCTTTTTACTTTTTTCTTCTCATTTACAAGAAATTTTTATGTGCTCTTAAGATACTTGTTATGTGATGTACTATTTCATGTGTGATAATATGAATGAACTTCTCATTTTTAAGTGAAATAATAACATTATATGACGGTGTTCTGAATATACTAAAAATTCTCCCACAATGTAATAGGATAATCGTAACCATCTATTTTAGGGACATAGCTGAAGGATTATGGCACACAAAACTAAACGAAGTTGAAAGTTTAGACATTTCATTAAATACGATGTTAGTTTAAGTGTTTAATCACGTGAAAATACAATGGAAAATGTAGCTAGTATTCTTTGACTTACTTTGTTCCCATGGATCGAGGATTTGACGAGGGCGGAGTGATTTTACAGCAGTAGTACGAGTGGAGGTGGAATATGGGGACAATGATTGTTTGTCCTCCCATTTTAGATGTCTATTCATGTTTTTTTGTTTTGTGTGATCAAAATTAAATCATGTTAATATTTTATATAATTTTTTTATAAAGATAATAAAACAAAAATAAATAGTAATATTGAATATTGACGTGATTTAATCGTGATCATATAAACAGAAATGCATAGAGGACACCGAAAATGAGAAGTTAGACAATCTTTGTCCGGAATATGGACCACCATCATGCCATTGCCAATATGTCTGCATTATGGCATTCAAAAGCCGAAGAATTTGGGTGGCTTTTTACGTGGATATGTGTCGATATTGCATCTTGGAAAATCTGCCGTGAGTCATCACGTATCTTAAAATAACGAAAAACTTACAGTACTATTTATTTTAACAAAAAATTATATTTTTACATTAAAAAATCAAATTTGGTACTATTCACTTTACTTTTTATTTTTTTCTTATCTATAAAACTCAAAGTTTTTAAATCTTTTTCATTAATTTTTTTTAATGTATCCAAATTTACTATTATAACAACAAGTGTGAAAGTTTGAAATTATTAAAATAATTAGAGGATGTGCGAGTTTCAAATCCAAAATGCAAGAGAGAAACTCAACATTCTATTTACTAAAATATTAAATCACATGTAACATTCTTGTTCTATTTATATTATAGCTTGTTATGTACGACATGTTTCGAAAAAAACTGAAAAATTATGTAGGGATTCACTTCGCAGGTAACACTTGCCGCAGTCTTTATATGCAATGAAATTGTTGCATTCTTATTTATTGAGAATTGGTGCTTTCTTCTGATTTATTTGTATAATTCTATAAATAATAGTGAACTGTTGTCTGACCTTAAAAAATAACCTCGAACCCATCTTTAGAAGAAATTTTTTTTTGTAAATGAGTAGTTTGAAATACTAAAAACAATTCTCCTATATGTATTTTATGTATATTAAATTTTGGTATCATGACAATTAAATAATTCAGGGTCTCTTTTGAGTTTTCGAAGATAATGCAAAAATAAAGTGTTTTCTTTAAAATTGTTTCACTTCATCTTTACTTAAGAGTGAGACGTCAGATCTTTAACTACTATGAATAGTGAGTTCAATATTGAATTATTATGAATAGCCTATTGTGTAGGATAGCTTCATGCTCAACTCCCCTTAGAGCCTCTCACAAAACTTTCCAAATTTCCTAATATCCCCGTTAATTCTTAAAATTGACAATGTTCTCTTAAAAAAAAAGTTGGAGCCTTTCATATAGAGAAAATTGTAGCAATGATATTTCAATTAGAACTTTGGCCCCTCAACTAAAAATTTGAGACCATTGGTCCCTTAACTCATTTAAACGTGTAACTATGATCCTCTTTGTAACTTTCGTAAAAAATGAATTATGGTGGAAGTACCATTGCTACAATTATGTCAAAGTTAAGGAATCATTGCTCAAATTGAGTTAAAGTTGAGGGATCATTGTTATAAGTTTTTCATTTTGATTTTTTGTAATTGCCTCTTGATTCAGCCTTACGTGTGTGACACGTTACTCATTTTGACAAAAGTTCTGATAGAGTTGACGAAAAAGACTATAAATGCACGTTTTGACGAGTTAAGAGACCAGTGGTCACAAATTTTTAATTGAAAAGATCATTGCTTCAATTCAATTAAAATTAAAAGACCATTACTGCAATTTTCTCAATCATAAAACTCAACCAACATTGCTGGCTGACACAAAACTTAAATTTTCTTTTTTCCAAAATTCAATGTCATCCATTTACACGCACAAACATTTACAGCATTGGTTTACTCTCTCTGCCAATGCGTTTTGCCAACTACTAACGAACTCTGTGTACTTGCACCAGCAGCAGGAAGCAGTGCATTCAAAAGCCTCTGCTTATGAATATGTTTTCTGAAACAAAAATGTCAACTCCTGGTTAGGTTTACATTTATGAGCAAATTTTAATCTTTCGATGTGGCACGAAGGTACAAAAGCTAAATTGGATTGATATCAAATTTTTTGCACCCAAAAATATAAGTATAGTTTCTCTGTGGTCTAATCATTGACTAACACATGTTTATAAGCTTAATTTTTATTAACTTTGTTGTCATAAACTTAATGTGTGTCAATCAATGACTGTGGGTCATAAAGATGCCACATCTATTTTGGATGCAAAGATTTGAGATATATTGGATTTGGATTGAACAAAATCAATATAGTGATTTCCACAATCCTGTCTTCTTCTTCTTCTGCAATTTTCCATTTGTCATTTGATTCTTCTGGGATGTACTTAGTCCACAACAACAACGAAATCTTATCTCACTAAGCGGGAACGACTGTATGAATCCTAAAACGCCACTGTGCTTAGTTTTACACCAAGTCTTCCATTAGCCCCAAGTACTCCATGTCATTACTTAAACTCTACATTCAAGTCTTCTTAATTCTTCCTCTATTTTCTTTTTTTACCCATTTTACTCTGAGTTTATGTCTCATAATCTCATTTTCTTACCGAAATATTTGTTCCTTGATTCTTCTTTGGTGTACTCAACCCGATGGCAAGAAAAAAAACAAAAACATCTCATAAAAAGAAGCTGGGCAAGTGAGTGATTAAAAGTGTTTATTTGTGCATCTGAGATTCTAAATTCCAATTCACCTCACTTAATATTGCTTGTATTAAAAAGAGCGTGAAGTTGAAATTGAGATCAAATTTTGGCTCTAAACCATTATCTTAATCCCATTTTACCGCTTAGACCCTTCTCAAGCTTCATTAAGTCCCAAGATAAAAGGTGATAGTGCTCAAACACATCCCTTCTCTCCATTTACATGGCAATGAGTTGACAGTAAGGGGCATACAAGTTAAATACATAACCTCCCGCACCTTTATCTACTTCTACTTTTACAACTGATCTAACAAAACCGCCCAACACCAGCCACCCTAAAATCGAAAAAAAGAAAGAAAAAAAGACGATTAAATCACAACGATTTTACACACAGCAAGCAGAAGAGCCAACAACCAACTTCCTAAGAGAAGGTAACAATGGCATTTACTTACAAACTTTTACGACATACCCATTCACCGTCGCTGCCCCATCAGACGTAGGCCTGATTTGGTACTGAGATGATTATAAAAAAAAACAGGTATAAAAAAAAGCTAGAGCTGTTTTTGTGTTTGGTAAACATTCAACTTCAGCTTTTTTTCCATAATTTTGAGTGAAAAAAGCCAAAAACAAGAAACTGCAAAACCCAACTTTGAAAAAACGACTTTTTTTCACATCTATTCTACATAAAAGTTTACTAAACACTATAATACTATTTTTTTTTTTCAAAAGCACTTTTACAAAAAAGTTTATCAAACACTCTGTTGCTTTATTCCACAGCTGCTTATTCTCACAGCACAGCTGAAGCAGCTTTTTTTTTAAAACACAGCAATACCAAACCAGCTCATATTAGCAGATGTATCTTGAATTCGAAGGCACCAATGTGTACGGATTTGATGGGCTTTCTAAATGCTTATTTCCCTAGTCCTTAGAAATCTGATTACTCTCAGTTAAGGGGGAGCTATTCTCCCTGGCATCTGTTACATCACCCTGATGCTGCATGATCTTCTTGAATGGGGTCCATACCATGATTTTCATGAGTTCTTGATGCACGACTATTCAAGAGATAGCGATAAGAAAGGGTACTGAAGGACTCTGTACCATAATGAGATCGAATAGCCGAACAGGACAAGGGTTGCATGAGGCGTTTTATCTCAGGAAACTCGCGCAATGATATTCTACAAACAGGACATGTGGAATGCTGCTGAAGCCATATCTCTATTCAGGTTACATGGAAGGAGTGCTCACAGTAGGGGAGGATCCCAATACATCATCACCATGGTATTCCGCAAGGCAAACAGTGCATCTACAAAATAAAAGAAAAATCAAATTTCATAAGAAAAATGCAAGGATTACGAGATAACATGTTTGAAATTGTTGTAGAGTGCCAAGATTATAGGTCAATATGACAAAATTATTCATTTGATTCTCATTGCTTTTCTCTTTTCCTTTAACCACTAAAGCAACAGAGTTGAGAGAATTTCTGAACCATGCTATCGAGATACCAGAATAAACGTTTACCGTATAATCTTCATTGGAATATCACTCAAATTGCAAGCTTGACCTCATTAAAGAAACAAACAGCAGGCTTGACTCGGCCGAAAAGAGAATCCTTACATATCAGCGGAACATTGAAATGAAAGGATTAACTTAATCAGATTAAGGAACCAATAGAGTACAAAAAATGGGAAGAGAACTTATTCAGGATAGCAGGATACTGCCTTGGACTCAAAGAACTATTATTTTGGTCGATTTACATTGTCAGGCATTAACAAGGATACTTTTACTGCAGGAGCAGTGCATTTTCCAGATTGTTTAAAACTTGCAAAATAAGAGAGTTCCAAAAGAACTGGGAAATGTTATATAGCCCTCTAAATATGCCTACATTGCATCAGAACGAAAACACTGCACTACTTAAGAACAACAACAAAGCCTTATCCTACTAAGTGGGGTCGATTGTATGAATGTTAGAATGTCATTGTGCTCGGATCTATGCCACGTCTTCCGTTAGATCCAATTACTCCAAGTCTTTTCTTAGAGTTTCTTTCCAAGTCTTCCTAGTTCTTCCTCTACCCCTTCGGCCTTGAACCTCTGTCTCATAATCACATCTTCTAACCAAAGCATTAGTAAGCCTTTGCTTCATATGTCCAAACCACCTTAATCGATTTTCTCTCATCTTTCCTTCAATCTCGGCTACTCTTACCTTACCTCGGATATCCTCATTCCTTACCTCGGATATCCTCATTCCTAATCCTATCCTTTCTCGTGTGCCCAAACATCCAACGAAGCATTCTCATCTCTTCTACACTCATTTTATGTACGTGTTAGATGCTTCACCGCACTATTTAAGAATATATATACAAAGTAAATTTGATATCAGAAATCACGAGGGCAACAGCTCTAAGTGTACATGAAGATAGAAATAATTACATTTATCAATTACTTCTTAAAATACTTTTTGGAACACTAAATAAGTAGCCACTGGCTTTTAGAAATATAAGAAAATGATCTATGACCACACACTGAATACAGCCCAGGATGAATCAGAGGCTATACAAGATTGAAGTGGACAGGCACCTAGCGTAAACTTCGTTCTTATAATTCACTGACCCTCCAAGCTTGAGGACATATCAACCTCTCTCAAATTATTAAAAAAAAAAAAAAAAAAAAAAAAAAAAAAAAAAGAAGTCTTTTTACGAGAAAATTACTCATCAGACATAAATTCTCATTAGATTTTAAACCCATGTATCCCACAGTCCAGAACAAATCTAAATTTCTCCAGGAGAAAAACAGGGTATGTGGCATCTATGCTAAAGACTTAACCAGCCGCATTGGAAAAGAATTAACACCTAGTAGCTCCAACCTTTTGAATTAGAACTAGGAGCAACCAAGAATCTGGTACTTCTTTCTCAATGGACAAAAGACAAATGAACAGAGAAAATGAAAGAGCCAACTTCCATCATCAAATTACACTCTAACCAATATCATTCCACTTGTGTCTTGTACACACACAACTGTCCATCAGTCTAACATAGAAAGCTACGGATAAAAGGAACAATGTACCGAGATACATAATTAAATTCTCTCTAATAGGACTAGACAACTAGTTAGCCAAAACTTGGCAATGGACACTTGAACCACATTATTTGAATTCTCATCTGTAAGGCTACTCGAAGAAAAGATTTCGAAGGGTATTACTGGATTTTGTTGCATTGTGGAAGTCTATTGAAGACTAAATGGTGAATTATGTAACGGACAAAAAGAGAATAAAAGGGGCGTGCTTCTAAAAAACATTATCATCATTTAGGTATGGAAAGAGGATATCAGTATTATCCAAAGTACTTGATATCTGCAACTCTCAAAGGTCCAAACACTTTACATCCTGGAATTGGTAGATTCTGCAGTATCTCCTAATGAGAAACTTCAGAACGACTAGTGTGGTAACCAGAACAGCATTAAATTTTATCAGCATGAATATTAAAAATTTGTGATCAAAGTACAAATATAAAAGATATTTATGGCAAGGAATAGCAGTAAAACGCAGACGTACTAAAAGAGTCTCCTAAGAGTACTGGTCAAATTTCAAAGAAAAGCTGTTTTTTGGAAGAGAAAGGGGGGGGGGGGGGGGGGGGGGGGGGTTGTCATTGTGTATGCCTTCATGGTATGTTGTGCTTTGACTTTAAACTACAATCGTTTGAAAATCTTATATTTCTTGATAATTCCTGTCACATGTAATACCCTTTCAAGACCCGCTAGATAAATTAGTGCATTCACATACTTCCATACCCCAAAACTCCTTACACGGAACATGGCACTACTTGGAAATACTCTTCCAGGGCTCAGAATGTTCGCTACTTGTACTTCTATATTCCTAAAACCTTACCAAATGAATCTCCATCTGTAATGGGAACCTATCAATTATTTGATTTATGACCCACACACACTCACCAATTACCACCGGAAATCCTTCCCTCTACCCCTTTCCCAGGTCTTTTCAAATTCCAATACTAAACAAATTATAAGACAAATATGGTTGAGAATCCGAACTCCAAATCCTCACTATTACAATTACCTATACCAAATATCATGGAAAATTGGAAATAATGAACTCAAGTTCAGAACAGTGAAAATCATATACCTCGCAAACATTTGCATATTACAATCAATCAAATGAGAAAAACTGCAAACAGAAATTAAAGTGAGGAATAGAAGAATTGAAGAAATAACATACTGAGCATCTTCTACAGCTGAAAAAAATGCATCACTGTACTTCTTTGTTGGAAAGTTGGCTATTACCACAGGTTCAACGCCATGCAATCCCCGTTCCAGCTGTACACGAATTAAGTGAAGAACCATTTAAATTCATGGTCAAAGATACGTATCCACATAAGCTTGTTTAATAAAAAGAAAGAAAATTTGCATAGGTATAGGCCTGTTTGTATATGTTTTATGTGATACACCAGAATAAGTCAAGAGATATACAAAGACCGAAAACATATATTAAAATGTCTGAATGGTACAACACTAACTATCAATTCAAAATGATAAACGAAACTCAGGAAGTCAGGGAAAAAAAAAGTTGAAAATAAATATTGTGCATAAAACTAAGAGAAGCTTGGAGCTTTGGTCCCTTGAACTAAAAGTTAGTGAGTATTGGTCCCTGAACTTGTCACAAAGTTGAGCGATTGTCCTTTTGAGTAAGACCTTTAGAACTTCCATCCAAAATAAAGAGATTAAAGGGGAAAATTAAGAAGTTAAAGGACCATTGTTGCACTTTGTGACAAGTTCTTGACCAATACTCGCGTACTTTTAGTTCAGGAACCAAAGCTTGAACTAGACTAAAGCTCGGGGACCATCCCGCCAATTTTTTTTTTTTAAACTAAAAGCCAAGAACCTTGTTCAATGTAGAAAACGATGAGAACTACGTATTATGAAAAAAACGCACAATAACTAAATAAGAACAGAAGTGAAACCAGTAACAATGACGCAAAGAATTTTTTTTTATTCATTTCCAATGGAAAATCCCAGATGCTTTTATCCTAATAAGAGTAAAATCAAAGCTAATTACTGATAAACGAACAATCCATTTCAGAAAACAGATCAAAACTAAAGAACTGGAAGGGGAAGAAACATACAATATTGAGATCAGATCCGGATGCTATGGGGAAGGAGCGTCTAGATACAATGAGGTGAATCCGAGCACAGACAAGCCTGGTACACACGAACACTATGAACATGGTGCTTACCGCGAACCCAATCACCGTCATCACCAGGTTTATCCCTGAAGATATCATCACTTTATATATGGGGTTTGTCCAATTTACCCAAATTCACAACCAGCTCAAAAATTACTCATATAAAAATATCAGCACCGCTTAGTCCCTCTCATATACACTGAATTGGGTAGGACATTCCACTGAGGTAGTGAAAATTGTGAGATATGGGTTTTGTACTGCTGTAGTTGCAGCCGGTACTAATGCTGCTGCTTGGGTTGAGCCAATTGTCATGGACAGGACAGCTCAAAGATCAGTTAGGGTGTGGGAGTGGAGAAAGCGGGAGGAGGGAATTGTATTGGTGTTGGAGGGAAGAGGCCAGAGGACCGGATGAGAAAGAAGTCATGGAGGGTTTGAGCAGAGCCAGGACTGAGGAAGCCCATGTGACTAGAATCACCCAAAAAAGGAGGGATATGGTGTACGGAAGGAGGGATTTGCTGCTCAGATCGAAATCAAATCCAGGTTTTGGGAGTTGGATTAAAGCCTAGTTTGGTATTGAGGAGATTCTAAAATAAGTTAGTATTAAAAAAAGTTGGAAGCTGTTTTTGTGTTTGGTAAACATTCAGCTTCAGCTTTTTTTCACAGTTTTGTGTGAAAAAAGCCAAAAACAAGAAGATGCAAAACTCAGCTTTGAAAAACTAGTTTTTTTTCATATCTGTTTTACATAAAAGTTTACCAAACACTATAATACTGTTTTTTTTTCTTCCAAAAGCACTTTTACAAAAAAGTTTACCAAACACTATGTTGCTTTATTTCACAGCTGCTTATTCTCACAACACAGCAAAAATAACTTTTTTTCAAAGTACAGCAATACCAAACCATCCCTAAGATTTGGTACTCACTTCAGTCCCAAACCAGTAATGACTGTACAAATAGAATCTTAAGTGAACATCTTTTTGAGAAGAGATCTTCTCTGAATCTATTCCACCAAGATCGCTTGATTAAGTGATTCGGATCTTTGAAATTTCATCAACGATAAAAAATTTATTACAATTTTTAAAAAGTTAAAATAGATGGACCGTTGAATGAAATTTTAAAGGTTCAGATCACTTGATCTGGTGACCTTGATGGAGGAGATTCGGAGAGAATCTCTTCTCGATCTTCTTAATTACCATACAAATGTAGAGAGTATTTTATGGGTAAACTGCATTTAAAAAGAATAAATATCTAACTACAAATAAGTAAGAGTTTCTACTCAAAATTATTTATTGCCGATTTATATAATTTTGTGTTTATGATCAATATCGTTTATATTATAAATTACTCCATAAAAATTGTCTTTGTGAAAATAAATTAAAACTTGTATACAAATAGATGAACATAATTGATAAAAATATTACAAACTGCTTATATATTTGCTACAATAGATTGACTAAATAACCTTAGTTTTAATTCATTTTTTGCAAAAATGATGTTTACAAAGTGATACATAATATGAACTGTTTTAATTATAAACACAAAGCTGTGTAATTCGAACATAAAGAATTTTGAGTAAGAGTTCCTATTATCATTGAGTTGCCTAACGTGTTCTTTTAAAAGTTCCCTCATGTTTACGTTCAATCGTAACCTCATACATTTTTAAAACATTTCAATTTGATACATTTACTTATTATTTTATTTTAATTTCGTACATTTATTACCATTTTCCTCAATTCTTCCATTATATGCATACAAAGATAGTCGATGGTCCCATAAAATTTGTGCTACGTGAATAAAAAAACAAATGAACATATTTGTAATTATAAAATGGCCCCACAAGTCACACTTGCAGAATCTTTGACTTCTATCCAGGAGCCTCTTTTCTTGAAGAGAGATTTTTTAATGTGATCGTACATCACGTGTCGTTATATAAATGATGGAATATGTATGTTAAAAATTTAATAATTTAAAAAATAAATTTTCTCACCATTTACATAAAAACATTTGATTTACCATCTGTATTCTTATCATAACTAAAAATTTATCCTCTTTACGAGGATACCGAGGATTCTCAAATCGGGATTGATTCTAATTGATTTTAGAGTTCTTTCTGGTGAGTCAACTAAACTCAGTCTCTCAGTTTCCACTGAAGCCGAAAGACGCTGTTTGAGAGACAGATTATTGAGACGGAAAAAAAAGAAGCATGGATATGAAAGCACAGAGGTTTGTATGCGACGGAGCAATTCCTTTGCACATTCATCTCCATGAATCCGACGGAGCAAGCCCTGGTAGTAAACCACTATATATATAGACACACACATATTATATCAGTATCTCTCTTTCAAATTTCCAATTAGATCCTCTGATTGGGTACCTGCCATCGTTAGCCTCGCTTCAGCCAGCGGCGCACTTCATACTCGCTCTCGCTTAGACACCATGTAGTAGGAAAACCAAAGTCTTGTGTGCACAAATTTGGGGCCAAACCAATTCTAAAGCAAACCTAGAAAGTGTTCCGTCTTCATCACCTTCTGCCAACATCAACACCATCACCCTCCCCGGCTACATGTTGCCACCGTCGTTGCAACTACACCTCTTCAATTTCTTCATCGCCACCATCTCCATTGCTATACTGTTCTGCCACCGCTATTTACCATCACCACTACTAAGCACTGCCACTATTACTTCATGCCACACCTTGCTGTTACTGCAAACAGAAAAACTACGACCAATGACGCAAAAGTTATCCCCATGTTCTCACAATTAATTAAAGTAGACTCACAAGATGTTATTTATGTGATATGTAATGCTCTAATTTTTTTTGTCTCAGTATAGTTCTGGGGGTTATAACTTAGTTTAAACAAACTAGTTTAGCTAACATGCCTATCAGGTTAATTGGTCTAAACTAGATTATAGGATTCACATGCCTTCCAACTATTTGGTTCTGTGTAGAGGATGTTCCTCTTTGATTGGCAATAAGATTTGATCATACAAGGTTTTAAAGCAAAGTTCTGGAGTGCTAGGTTAGAAGAGTGATCTTAGTGAAACCCTTCATACCTTACATGTCATTCATCTGTGTGCAGATGCCGTGTGCATTTGTGTGATGAAGCTATGTGAAATCTCTTTGCTCGTGAGGAGGACCTACTGGGTGCGGTGTGTTCATCCAAAAGAGAGCCAAGGAAGGACGTCATGCTACAAGAACAAAAGTATAAGTGAGAACTTCAAGTGCAATAAGTGTCTGTCTTGTTGAGTCTTGTCAGGCCGGAGGCACTCTAAGGCTACCATAGGCCTAGGCCTACCCTCACTAAAGATCCCCTAACTAACCTTTCCAAATAATTATGTATTATATATATATATATAAATTTTTTTTTGATAAACTTAATATTATACTTCTTTTAGTTTACACAAATTTCTTAATTTCTATTCACCAATAGTTAAATAAGAGGTCTCTTTTCTTTTCAATCCCAACCACACTCATCCTAAAAATAAGTTTACAATCTTATTTTATAAACAAATCAATAACTCTTAAAATTAAAATCTAGGGTAAAGTACAAAAAACTACCTCAACTATTGCGGTCATGACAGTTTCATACCTCATCTTTTAAAATTGACAATGTCATACCGCATCTTACGAATTTGTGACAATGTCATACCTCCGTCAATTTTTCTGTTAAATGCTGACGTGGCAATAAACGGGGACCACTTTCTATTAAAAAATTAATAAAATATTATTAAAAACTAAAAAAAAATATTTAATATTTTTTAAATATTAAAATAATAAATAAAAGTAAAATTTAAAAAAAAAAGGGTAAAGTACAAAAAACTACCTCAACTATTGGGGTCACGACAGTTTCATACCTCATCTTTTAAAATTGACAATGTCATACCGCATCTTACAAATTTGTGACAATGTCATACCTTCGTCAATTTTTCTGTTAGTTTTTCTGTTAAGTTCTGACGTGGCTTGATTCGGGACATACTTTCTATTAAAAACTAAAAAATAATTATTTAATATTTTTAAATATTAAAATAATAATAAAAGTAGAGAAAAAAAAAACCATCAGTTTGTCCCTTCCCTCCCCCTCCCCCTTCCTCTCTCTTCTCCCCATCTTCATTTTCTTCCCCCCACCTGCAAACCCAAAAAAATAAAAAATATAAAAAAAATTTGAAAACCGAACAACCCCCTGCAGAAGAACAAGAAGGGGAAGGAGGAGGAGGAGGAGGAGGAGGAAGAAGAAGAAGAAGAAGAAGAAGAAGAAGAAGAAGAAGAGGACAAAAAAGGAGGAAGCAAAAAAAAAAAAAAATTCCCCCCTATCAACGCGGAAGAAGAAGAAGGGAGAAGGAGGAGGAGGAAGAAGAAGAAGACGAAGAAAAGGAGGAGGAAGAAGAAGAAGAGGAAGAAAAAATAAAAAAAACAAATTTGAAAACCCATCAAAAACCCCCCACCCCCCGCGCGCACGCGCGCGGGGGGAAGAAGAAGAAGGAGAAGGAGAAGGAGAAGGAGGAAGAAGAAGAAGTAGAAGAAGAGGAAAAAAAAGGAGGAAGGAAATTTTTTTTTTTTTTTTTAAACCATCAACTCTCCTGCGGAAGAAGAAGGAAGAAAAAGAAGAAGGAAAAAAAAATTATTTTTTTGAAAACCCATCAAACCCCAAATCCACCACTTTCATCCATTCTCCACATCCTCTCCCGCACCCATCCTCCACCTTCTTTGTGCACCTATCTTCCCACAGACGAGATTTGGGTTTTTTTTTTTTTTTTTTTTTTTTTTATGGGTTGCAGGAGGGAGAAGAGTGTGAGTGTGGGGAAATTAAGTGCGAGTGTGGGGAAAAGACAAATTGGATTGTTTTTTTTTTTTGGCCTTTTATTATTATTTTAATATTTAAAAAATATTAAATAATTATTTTTTAGTTTTTAATACTTTTTTAATAGAAAGTAGGTCATGAATCAAGCCACGTCAGCACTTAACAGAAAAATTAACAGAAAAATTGACGGAGGTATGACATTGTTACAAATTCATAAGATGCGGTACGACATTGTCAATTTTAAAAGATGAGGTATGAAACTGTCGTGACTCCAATAGTTGAGGTAGTTTTTTGTACTTTACCCTTTTTTTTAATTTTACTTTTATTTATTATTTTAATATTTAAAAAATATTAAATATTTTTTTGAGTTTTTAATAATATTTTATTAATTTTTTAATAGAAAGTGGTCCCCGTCTATTGCCACGTCAGCATTTAACAGAAAAACTAACAGAAAAATTGACGGAGGTATGACATTGTCACAAATTCGTAAGATGCGGTATGACATTGTCAATTTTAAAAGATGAGGTATGAAACTGGCATGACCGCAATAGTTAAGGTAGTTTTTTGTACTTTACTCTAAAATCTAAAGTCTAGTTTAGTTTCAAAAAAATATTCTTTACATTGCCAACTGAAGAATAATAAACTTTGAGTGTTTCCTCCTCCGCTTCTTGAAATTTTATATATTTTGTTCAACAAATTCCCAATCCATTCTTCTCATTTTTTATTTGAAAATTCCCAATCTATTCTATATTGACAT